ATTTTAAAGGGTGCCTCGGGGACTGTCCATAATTTTAAAGGGTGCCTCGGGACTGTCCATAATTGTAAAGGGTGCCTCGGGAATGTCCATAATTTTAAAGGGTGCCACGGGACTGTCCATAATTGTAAAGGGTGCCTCAGGACTGTCCTGAATTGTAAAGGGTGCCTTGACTGAAAAAAGCTTGAGAAACTCTGGTCTATGCAAATCACACCAAAAGTAGTGCATGGACTACTTTAGAAATTGGTGCGACTCCGGCCATGTCGGAACCCACACTGATATGACTGCTGTAATTGCGGACAATAGCGTGCGACTTGGCATATGATTTGCAAATCACATGCCAAGTTGCACCCTTAAGACCTAAATACAGTTTGCAGTCCTCTGGTGTTACTGCTGCACTCAGTATTACATGTTAATGTGATCACATGCGAATGCCATTTAGTGCAGGAATACTTTGGACTCAGAGGAAGTGGGTTGGATGAGGCTGGCTGTCATTCAGCCTGGAAAACTGAGGACATCTTGTGATGGAAAGGAATTACTGCAGGAGATGGCTCCAGATAAAAGGAGAAGACTGCAGGAAAAACGTCCTTTTTTTATTTGTAGTAATACTGGGCTATAAATTTAAATTAGGAGTTCAAGTTTAGGGACTAAATTAAAGAGATTTCATCTGAGGGTGAGCTGGTTCTTGCAGCATAAAGGCCTAGATCTCCACACTCCTATTGACCAAACCTGGGGTCAGGGTGACCTGCAAATGCAGTAGCGGCTAAACTATGCTGGATCCCAAAGGGATTGTGTAGTCTAGGTGTTTTTTTTTTTTTTTTTTTAGATCTGAGTGACAGTGACAGACATTCTGCATGGCACAGTGACAGGGAGAAGGCAACTATTTCTGCTTTTTTATTTTTAATTTCTTTTAGCCTTCTTCACTGGACAGGAGGTAAGTGTAGCACTTTAGTCCCTCTCTAAATACACAAAGATACTGGCTTATGCTGAACCAACATCACGATGAGACACGTCAATGGCCTTATGTATCAACATGTTCTTATGAAGGGCTGAATCTGCTTCTGATTGGTGTCTGTGGGGGTGTCCTTCCATTTATAATAATGCAGAGAATGGCTCCCTCCTACAGGATCAGTGCTGTACTCTGGTTAACGAAGATCATCCCCTTTAATTCAACATCTCTAACGGAAAGTAACAAGAGGATTGCCAGCAGTAGTTTTTTTTTTTCTTGCTTCCTTTCAACCATGGCAACAGCACACTTCATATAGTGATAATAAGACGCATACATATTAATAAAAAAATTAAAAAAATACATTTTAATTTTTCATTTATTTTATATATTTTTTAATTTATTTTTTTAATTAATTAATTTTTTTTATTAATATTTATGTGGCTCATTATCACTGTTTGTACTTGCCTTTCTGGGGTGGAAGGCGTTACACTGAGTCATTGGGATTTAGATAAATAAATGGGATTGAGATGAATGAGGAGTGGATTTTACACTATAGCACACTTCATAGGACCTCAAAACGCTTATCCCCTGCTAATAAAAAAAAAAAAAATAAATTAAAAAAATACATTTTAATTTTTAATTTATTTTATATATTTTTTTCATTTATTTTTTTAATTAATTAATTTTTTAATTAATATTTATGTGACTTATTATCACTGTACTTGCCTTTCTGGGGTGGAAGGCGTTACACTGAGCCATTGGGATTTAGATAAATAAATGGGATTGAGATGAATGAGAAGGAGTGGTTTTTACACTATAGCACACTTCATAGGCCCTCAAAACGCTTATCCCCTGCTTTTGCATTCATCCTTAGATTGACTGCACTGAGCCCTTTCATCTTTGGCACCGATCACATGATTATAGTAAGCAGATCCCCTAATAAGTCCTCCTGAACGGAAGCGGGTAAGAATCTCTGCTAAAATCCTTAAAATATACGATTCCGAAGACCGTGTTCTCTCAGCAAATGCTCTGTAAAATCACATACAAGATTCTTCTGCATCTGGCACTGGTACAGTATGTCAGGCAATATTGAAGCCAATACTTTTCTAATCCTTTGTTGTGCTGGATATTCCCGTTCAGGAAATGAAGTGTACGCATGGAGGTTTACACTATGTTTTCTAGATTTAGACAGGACTTTTATATACATGCTGTCTAGTCCCAGCTGATCTCTCAGTATTAAAATTCACTTACCTTTGAAATGGTATTCGGCTACAGTGCAGAGCTAGCAATACCAGTCACAGGTGTTGTCAGCCGTAATAGTGGGGGATTTATCATTCTGTAATCCCTCAAACTAAGCCTGAGATGGCCACAAAGAGAGGCCTGCAGGAAACATCTGACACCAGAGAATAATAGTCATAGGTCTGCTCATTTGTAATGCCCAACTCCAGGCAAACAGCTAAATACTGCATTCTGCTGCATACATTGGAGCTATTTACCTATCAAAGAAGTTTTATTTTTGTCCATCCAGTCCTGAAATATACACAGTTCTGCCAGACAGCACAGCCAGCCTGAAGTTATTATTATTGTACAGGATTTATATAGCGCCAACAGTTTGCTCAGCGCTTTACAATATAACGGGAGACTATAGAGCAAACAATACAGTTCAATACAAGAGGGATTTGAGGGCCCTGCTCCTTGGAGCTTACAATCTAAGAGGGAGGGGCTAGTGGTACAAAAGGTAGTAACTGTGGGGGATGGACTGGTTAGAAGAGTAGAAGATTCCAGTATTAGCTGAGGGCAGGATAGGCTTCCCCGAAGAGATAGGTTTTCAGAGATCGCCTAAAAGTGAGCAGTGATAAATTGGGGTATAGAGAGTTCCAGAGGATGGGGGAAGCTCTGGAGAAGTCCCGGAGATGAGCATGGGAGGAGGAGACAAGGGAGCTAGAGAGCAGGAGGTCGTGCGAGGAGCAGAGAGTACAGTTTGGGTGATATTTAGAGACAAAATCGGTGATGTAATTTGGGGCAGTTATGTAAAGCAGCCATTTCATCTCCCTGTTCCCAGCCTGTGATTGGACAGTGAAAGAGCAGCAGCATGCTGACAAGGTTCATCTCTTCGCCTGCTGTATGAGGTAATGAAAGGCTGACAAGTGAAATTCAGATACTTATACTAGCTGCATTTATCTGCCCAGCGTTTTGTTTGTATGCTTAGTTTGCCTGATTTTACTGGAACATCCAATAGTAAGCTCAGAAGTCTGCACGCCAGGGATTCCCAACCACACCCACCGGAACCTCTTTGCATTTCTAAATAGATAAACGCACCAATCATCTGTAGATATTAGTACAGATGCTCCACCTACATTGTATTTAGAGATGTAGCATCCTGTGGTAGGAGGCTGCAGTCCCCACAAGATCACCTCTGAACACCCTGCAAGTGTGAGCTTTCTGACTGTTGCAAACAGTTGCAATGTTTGCTGTATACGAGTCAAATATACAATATATTGCCGAACGTATTGGGTCCGGGCTCCAAATCATTGGATTCAGGTGTTCCAATCCCCTCCATGGTCACAGTGTATAAAATCATCACCTAGGCATGCAGACTGCTTCTACAAACATTTGTGAAAGAATGGGTCGCTCTCAGGAGCTCAGTGACTCCAAGCGTGGGCCCGTGATAGGTTGTCACCTGTGCAATAAGTCCATCCGTGACATTTCCTGGCTACTAAATATTCCACGGTCAACTGTTAGTGGGATTATAACAAAGTTGAAGCAACTGGGAACAACAGCAACTCAGCCATAAAGTGGTAGGCCACGTAAAATGACAGAGCGGGGTCAGCGCATGCAGAATCGCAGTGCGCAGAAGTCACCAACTGTCTGCAGAGTCAATAGCTTAAGACCTCCAAACTTGGTGTGGCCTTCAGATTAGCACAACAATAGTGCATAGAGAGCTTCATGGAATGGGTTTCCATGGCCGAGCAGCTGCATCCAAGCCTTACATCACCAAGTGCAATGCAAAATCTCGGATGCTGTGGTGTAAAGTACGCTGCCACTGGACTCTAGAGGGATACGTGTTCTCTGGAGTGACCAATCACGCTTCTCTGTCTGGCAATCCGATGGACGTTCCATGATACCAATGAGCTTTTTAGCTGTCATTTTTTAGCTATGGCATTCTGACCACCAAACTAATGGGGGCATTCTTTCCATTGACCAATGTAAGGTATTTTCTTCCCACTGACAACAATGTAAGGGACGTTCTTCTCACCAATCACCAATATAAGGGACATTCTTCCCACTGATCACCAATGTAAGGGACATTCTTCCCACTGATCACCAATGTAAGGGACATTCTTCTCACCGATCACCAATGTAAGGGACATTCTTCCCACTATCAACCAATGTAAGGGACATTCTTCCCACTGATGACCAATGTAAGGGACATTCTTCCCACTGACCACCAATGTAAGGGACATTCTTCCCACTGATCACCAATGTAAGGGACATTCTTCCCATGATCACTAATGTAAGGGATATTCTTCCCACTGATCACCAATGTAAGGGACATTCTTCCCACTGACCACCAATGTAAGGGACATTATTCCCACTGACCACCAATGTAAGGGACATTCTTCCCACTGATCACCAATGTAAGGGACATTCTTCCCACTGATGACCAATGTAAGGGACATTCTTCCCACTGATCACCAATGTAAGGGACATTCTTCCCACTGACCACCAATGTAAGGGACATTATTCCCACTGACCTCCAATGTAAGGGACATTCTTCCCACTGATCACCAATGTAAGGGACATTCTTCCCACCGATCACCAATGTAAGGGACGTTCTTCCCACCGATCACCAATGTAAGGGACATTCTTCCCACTGATCACCAATGTAAGGGATGTTCTTCCCACTGACCTCCAATGTAAGGGACATTCTTCCCACTGATCACCAATGTAAGGGACATTCTTCCCACTGACCTCCAATGTAGGGACATTCTTCCCACTGATCACCAATGTAAGGGGACGTTCTTCCCACCGATCACCAATGCAAGGGACGTTCTTCCCACTGATCACCAATGTGAGGGATGTTCTTCCCACTGATCACCAATGTAAGGGACATTCTTCCCACTGATCACCAATGTAAGGGACATTCTTCCCACCGATCACCAATGTAAGGGACATTCTTCCCACCGATCACCAATGTAAGGGACATTCTTCCCACTGATCACCAATGTAAGGGGACATTCTTCCCACCAATATAAGGGATCACCAATGAAGGGACATTCTTCCCACTGATCACCAATGTAAGGGACATTCTTCCCACCGATCACCAATGTAAGGGACGTTCTTCCCACCGATCACCAATGTAAGGGACATTCTTCCCACTGATCACCAATGTGAGGGATGTTCTTCCCACTGACCTCCAATGTAAGGGACATTCTTCCCACTGATCACCAATGTAAGGGACATTCTTCCCACTGACCACCAATGTAAGGGACATTCTTCCCACTGATCACCAATGTAAGGGACGTTCTTCCCACCGATCACCAATGTAAGGGACGTTCTTCCCACTGATCACCAATGTGAGGGATGTTCTTCCCACTGATCACCAATGTAAGGGACATTTCCCACTGATCACCAATGTAAGGGACATTCTTCCCACCGATCACCAATGTAAGGGACATTCTTCCCACTGATCACCAATGTAAGGGACATTCTTGTAAGGGACGTTCTTCCCACCGATCACCAATGTAAGGGACATTCTTCCCACTGATCACCAATGTGAGGGATGTTCTTCCCACTGACCTCCAATGTAAGGGACATTCTTCCCACCGATCACCAATGTAAGGGACATTCTTCCCACCGATCACCAATGTAAGGGACATTCTTCCCACTGATGACCAATGTAAGGGACATTCTTCCCACTGATGACCAATGTAAGGGACATTCATTCTTCCCACTGATCACCAATGTAAGGGACATTCTTCCCACTGACCCCCAATGTAAGGGATATTCTTCCCACTGACCCCAATGTAAGGGATATTCTTCCCACTGATCACCAATGTAAGGACATTCTTCCCACTGACCACCAATGTGAGGGAATGAGGCCTGAAACATTTTTTTTTAAAGGTGAATTTATCCATTACATATACTTAGTGAAGTGACTGGCCTCAGGTGATATGAAACAAATCCTTTTATATAAAGATATACCGGTTGATCTACATTCTTCTCTTCTCTACAGCCCTTCAAAGTGCAGAATTTATAAAGTTTGAGATTCCAGAAAGCAGGGAGCTGCAGTTATACTCTGCAGAGCTCGGTGAGAGCTGATTGGAGGGAAGGAACACACCCACCCACCTTTACATAGGAACAGAGCTGAGGCTGTCAATCACAGGCTGTGTGCCAGAGGTCCCCTGTCACCTTTTTATCTCTTGGTATCAAGCAAATTAGTCAGAAGTGACTCATGCAGATAGCAGAGGAAGGAGGCAGCAGAGAGAAATGACACTTAGTGTTCTGGATTGAGATACTCTAGATCAGGGGTCTCCAAACTGAGGCCTGAGGGCCGGGTGTGGTTCTTTGCTACCCTTTATCTGGCCCTTGGGGCACTATTCCTCCCACTGAGACCAAAATGGGGCAGTACTTCTTCCCATGAAACCAATGATGATGGTGTACTCTTCTTCCCACTACTGACCAACAACCCTGAGGCCACGTTTATTCTCCCTGATGTTGGGACCAGGATATTTTCTATCCTCACTGACCCTAATCCGGCCCTCCTAAAGTCTGAAGGACAGTATACTGGCCCTTTGTTTGACAAGTTTGGAGACCCCTGCTGTAGAGGGATATGCCTTTCTCATATTTCATGTCTGAGGATTACAACCACTTTAGTCTGCAATGGCAGCAAATGGGAATGTTCATGTGCTGCGGTTGTAATGCTTTGTGACTACAGCAAGAACGATCCAACATATCATGATCAGCAGGGGACAACCCCACCAAACGAGGATCCATTCAAATAAATGGGAAAGTGCCGCAAAAACCTGCATCTGCGTGCAATGCATGTGATTGCAGGCGCATTTAATCAGAAAAAAATGTTTTAAAACTGGTTATGAGGAGACTTCATACCACCTGTCAATCACCTCTGAAAAGCAATCTGAATATGGATTGGGGGAATGGTAAAAAACACACAGCTGAACCACATTTTTAACAGGTTCAGTGCAGTTATGCACATGCCACCATGCTTCACATCACAGTGTGGCAAAAAATGATCCTCGTCTGTACTGACTGCCAAACATGACCCATTCAAGTGAATGCATTCTGTTGTGGTGGGAGATTTTAGGAGTTCAATCAGGCAGTGAGGAGGTGATACCTCCTCATCGCTTGTCAAACACCCTCTGAAAAGTGATACGCTAGTGTTAATGAGCCCTTAAGGAACAGTCTGAGATACTGCACAGCAAATTGCACTGTATAGGAACATAAACCATAATCCGATTGGCTTTAAGGCTAGGTTCACACCTATGCAGTTTGCATTTGATCTGTTTCTGCAGTGCGTTTTGGATTGCGTTTTTTGCGTTTGATGCATTTTGCAGGGTTTTTTTTCTTGTTGCTAGGCAGATTATTAAAACACAACACATCAAGAACGCACTACATGCTTTTCTGCAGCATCTCCATTGAAGTCTATAGAACCAAAAACGCAACGTTTTGTGTTTAGCCCGTGTTCACAGAAAGTCCCTGACCCTTTCCAATAAACGCACGGGGTGAAAACGCAGAGATGTGAACCTGTCCCATAGGAAATCATGTTAGATGGACTGTAGTGCATTTCTGTAAAAGGTGTAGGTGTGAACGTAGACTTCGGCTCCGTTCACATTACTGTAATGCATTTTTAGTGCTTTTTGCAGACACGCACTACAGTCCGGTTAACATGGTTTCCTATGAAACACGTTCACATTTTTTTGAGCTGCTGCGTTTTTGGAAAGGGTCAGAGACTTTCTTTAACCCCTTCCTGCCGGCGCCTCCTGGCCCTTTAAAAGTTTCAGATGGTAGGAGGCGGGGCGGGTGGGCGTGGTTTAGGGATCATGTGACCGCCGTCGGCACGGCGGTCACATGATCGGGAAAGGTCCCGATCGAAAGAGCAGACCGGGACCTTTCCGTGAGTACCGAACATGTGTGCTGGGAGCATGCAGGGCGTGCGCTCTCAGCACATATGGTTTTTTCTTAGCTGAATGCAAAATGTGTGGCCGCTTGGAGTCTAGGCCCAGATGCCGGGAGGCCGCACATATGTGTGCGGCCGGCGTAAAGGGGTTAAAAGGAAAAAGCAGCATTTTTGCTACAATGGAGTTCAATGGAGAAAGTGCTTTAAATGCGTGGAAGTGCGTTTTTTACCGCTTTTGCATTTTTAATCTGCACAGCAACAAAAAAATATTCCACTTTACCAAAAAAATAAAAGCTGAAAAACGTGTCAAAAACGTGTAGAAAGATGCAAAATGAACTGCAAAAGCACTACAAAATGGACAAAAATCAATCTGCATAGGTGTGAATGGAGCGTCAATACACTATGCAAAGTTAAATGCACCCCAATTCACAGATGCATATGCACTGTGCTCCCATGTGCTAAAAAACAAATGCCACAGAATCAAGTTTTTCATATGTTATACAAAGCAGGAAAACATACATGTAGCATTGCACTCCATTATGATGTTAATGGGCCCCAAAACCTCTTAAAGAGGGGCCTTGTGCTCTAAGGGCCAGTTCACACTGCATGCATTTCAGCTGCTTTTTTCTGCATCCAAAATGCACAGAAAGTAGGTGATATGGTTGTCAATGTCATAGTTCACATCAGTGCTTGCAGTTCCAGTGCGTTCCGGTTGTGGAAAAAAAAGTAGAACAGGTTGCTTTTTTCTGCACAGAACTGTACTGGAAGTCAGTAAAACGCATCAGAAACGCACATGTCCCTATTCAAATTGAAGAAAAAGAGAGGGGAAAAATTAACTGGAATGCATAAAAACGCACTAGAACGTGTCAAACGCATCGGACACACATCCAGAACACATCAGGACTGTGTTTCTATATTGTGATCCATACCTGACCCTAGGTTCACACCTAAGCGTTTTCCACAGCGTTTTGCGCAAACGCAGTACAGTCCATTTAACATTATTTCCTATGGGACACGTTCACATCTCTGTGTTTTTACCCTGTGCGTTTTTTGTAAAGGGTCAGGAACTTCTTTGAACACAAAACGGTGTGTTTGTGGTTCTATAGACTTCAAGGGGAATGCTGCAGAAAAGCATGTATTGTGTTTTTTTATGTGTTTAGTGTTTAAAATCTGCCTAGCAACAAGAACAATTAGAATGCTAAAAAAAAAAAAAAAAAAAAAAAAAAAAAAAAAAAAAACAAAATGCGGCAAAAATGCAAAACGCAATGTGAAACGCATCAAATGCAACCTGCATAGGTGTGAACCTAGACTAAGCCCCACATCAAAGCCGATTTTTAAATCGTGCGACTTACAGTGAAGTTGCACAATTTCAAAATCGGGTGAACTGCCTATTTCAGTTGCAATTTGCAAGACATCTGGCACAGATATATATGCAAATCACACCAGAAGTAGTGCATGGGCTACTTTAGAAATCGGTGCGGCTCCGACCAAGTCAGAACCGCACTGATATTTCCGCTTTAATAGCGCACAATAGGGTGCGACTTGGCATACGATTTGCAAATCTCATGCCAAGTCACACCCGATGTGACCGGCGTGTAACCCGTAGCTCATATATCCGCATTCCTGCGGTCCACGTTTTGCGTGGGCACAAGAGCCCATTCATTTGAATGGACTCCCGTGCCCCGGGAAACGCAGGGAAGAGGTCCCTGCACTTCTTCTGAAAACGCAGCCCACATGGGAACCTCGGTTCCCAGTACAGTTGCGATTTTCAGTGCGGGCGGTGTGCCATTACAATTAATGGCACCCGCCCGTGGGTCCAAATTCCTCTGTGCTGGTGGTGCGGCTGCATGGATTTTTGTATGGATCCTCAACTGCACCACCTGCACATATGTGAACCTAGGAGCATATTTCTTGGTTTCCAGGTGGCAGCACAGGTGTCTCATTAGTAAGGTGGGCCCACTAATCACTTCAGCTGTGGGGAGAGAGCTGGAAAAACCTGACCTGCCCGTGGATTGCAGAGGAGAAGCATTGTATCCTATGAAGACACTTCCAGCTTCCTACAGGTAAGGGGGTGTATTCCAGGGGGAGGGCATGTCCTGTTGTCTGTGTATGTTGTACTGGACTTGGGGGGCTTCTAATAGAACGTAGGACATTTCTAAAACTGGTGCAAGACAGAAACCTACAGCCAGCTAATCAGTCATCTTATAAAATAGTGCTTCATGGACAGGGATGGATTGACAACTCATGGGGCCCCGGGCAATAGGAGATCATGGGGCCCCTGTGTCTTTGCCCAAACTCAAAAAAACCTATGAAAAAGGTACCTGGGGCATCTCATGGGGCCCCCTACGGACCCTGGCCCTCAGGCAGTGCCTGAGTTTCCAAATGGTCAGTCCGCCCCTTGTTTATGTATAATGTTTACTGGAACAATGCTTTTTGATAACAATTGTGCAAACATGCTGAATTGGATGTAATTATTCATCATTAATCTTATATACTCATTCCAAATGTTTTTATTCCATATTCCTCAATCTGCAGCTTTCATGTTCTACCTGTTGATTTTGCCATTGAGCTGTTTGTTCAGGCACCTCCTGTCATAAGGTGACAACGCTTTGTCCCTGTCTCCTATTTGTGTTCTTGTGTTGTCACCCCGTCTTCTGATGGTGACTACATGTGGAATTGTCAATATAAATGACAGACATTGTCACCATCAGGAAACTCCATGCAGCTATCACTGGAGTGTGTGGAAACAGCAGATCAGCAGTGAAAACATTGCACTTGTAATGTATACGAGGCAAAGTGCTTTAGCAAACTAAATGCGTCCAGTTAGATTTTACATCTACAGTACTTTTCCTGCTATACATTTTTATCAAAGAATTGTCAGATGTCAGAGATGTTCATTGTTCCCTAAGGCTGCATTCATACCTGAGCGCTTTGTAGCTTGAAGCTCCAAGCAAGCTCAGACTTAAAAAGTGTCCTCTATGGTGCTTGTTCACACCTGATCGCGCAAACAGGCACCATAGAGAACGACTGATTTTTTTTTTTTTTCTTTTCTTTTCTTTCCTTTCTTTTCTTTCCTTTCTTTCCTTCTTTCCTTTTTCTTTCCTTTTTTTTCTTTCTTTCCGTTTTTTCTTTTTTTTTCTCTTTCTTTCCTTTTTTTTTTTTTTTTTTCTCTTTCTTTCCTTTTTTCTTTCCTTTTTTTTCTCTCTTTCCTTTTTTTCTTTCCTTTTTTTTTCTCTTTCTTTCCTTTTTTTTTTTTTCTTTCTTTCTTTCCTTTTTTTTCTTTCTTTCTTTCCTTTTTTTTCTTTCTTTCTTTCCTTTTTTTTTTTTTTCTTTCTTTCTTTCCTTTTTTTTCTTTCTTTCTTTCCTTTTTTTTTTTTTTCTTTCCTTTTTTTCTTTCTTTCCTTTTTTTCTTTCTTTCCTTTTTTTCTTTCTTTCCTTTTTTTCTTTCTTTCTTTCTTTTTCTCTTCTCTTTTTCTCTTTCTTTCTCTCTCTCTCTCTCTCTCTCTCTCTCTCTCTCTTTCTCTTTCTTTCTTTTTCTCTTTCCTTTCTCTTTCCTTTCTCTTTCCTTTCTCTTTCCTTTCTCTTTCTCTTTCTCTTTCCTTTTCTTTTCTTTTTTTCTTTTCCTTTTCTTTTTCTTTCTCTTTTTCTTTTTTTCTCTTTCTTTCTTTTCTCTTTTTCTCTTTCTTTCTTTTCTCTTTTTTTCTCTTTCTTTCTTTTCTCTTTTTTTTCTCTTTCTTTCTTTTCTCTTTTTTTCTCTTTTCTTTTTTTCTTTCTTTTTTTTCTCTTTCTTTCTTTTCTCTTTTTTTCTCTTTCTTTCTTTTTCTCTTTTTTCTCTTTCTTTCTTTTTCTCTTTTTTTCTCTTTCTTTCTTTTTCTCTTTTTTTCTCTTTCTTTTTCTTTTTCTCTTTTTTTCTCTTTCTTTCTTTTTTTCTCTTTTTTTCTCTTTCTTTTCTTTTTCTCTTTTTTTCTCTTTCTTTCTTTTTCTCTTTTTTTCTCTTTCTTTCTTTTTCTCTTTTTTTCTCTTTCTTTCTTTTTCTCTTTTTTTCTCTTTCTTTCTTTTTTTTTCTTTTTTTCTCTTTCTTTCTTTTTCTCTTTTTTTCTCTTTCTTTCTTTTTCTCTTTTTTTTCTCTTTCTTTTCTTTCTTTTTTTCTCTTTTTTTTCTCTTTCTTTTTTTTCTTTTTTTTCTCTTTCTTTTTTTTTCTCTTTTTTTCTCTTTCTTTCTTTTTCTCTTTTTTTCTCTTTCTTTCTTTTTCTCTTTTCTTTCTGAGCTTTTTTTGTAGCTTCAAGTGTGAACACAGCCTAAATGTAACAGAAAACTTCCACTACTTGAGAAGGTAATAACAAAACTCAAGGGGTGCCCAGGAAACTGTGGGGTGCAGATTACATTTTTTTTATAGGCATAAAACATACAAGTAGGAGAACGCTCCAATAGGATTAAATACATTAAACACAGAATCATGGTATTTAAAAATGATCTACAATACACGTTACAAATGTAGATGGACTTGTGTGTTCAGTGTGGGAAGCCTCTGATTCCCTGATGAAGTCTGCACTAGCTATGTACTGATGAGGATGACCCGGTGGAAACCTCAGGTGTGTTCACAAATTCTTAGTTGTCACCTGAACAGTGATCTAGTGACATAGGTCTCAATGAGCCCTTCTGCAGCATGTGTGTCCTGGAGGCAGGCTACTACATTCTTTTATCGTGCATTTGATGCTTTTATGTACATGTGTGTGCTTTAAAGACTTATTTTATGCAGTGAGAGAGGAACTTTAGAATTGGAGTTTTCCATGCGGTAGATGCATTTAAAGTGCCCCGTGTTGTATGACGCCAGTGGTTCTGCTCGTTGCATTTCAGTGGGATGGTTTATAGAGAACCTTTTATGGATTCTAGGCTACATTTACATGGGCACTAGTGGGAATCTGTAGAATCTCGCCAGGGGTTCTAAATGCTGCACTGATGCATATTTTGTGCAAACAGCAGCAGCCGATCGCTCTGGCTATCAGATATGTACTCTGTTCAAATCCCGCACCGCCGCTGTTCATATGCAACTGGTCACATGAGCGGTTACCTGCGAACGGGATCAACCAGAATGGTGCTGCAGCATTTTGGCCACTTCTGATTGGCCGGTTTTTGATTATAGCTGCATCCAGAGGCAGCACTCTGACTCAACGAATTATCTGAAGTCATGTCCTTGGTGGCCAACCTGTGGCCCAAGGGCTTTATATAATGTGCAGCCCTCACAGCTCAGCAGTCTGTGGGTAATAGCATTGACCTCTACTATCTAGAGACTGTGGACATGCTATCATGCAGCATGCCCACAGTCTCTGACCATCAATTCCTCTATTAAGTTTGCAGTCTATGACAATCCTCTCAATCAGAGACGTGTATTGAACATTATGTGCCGCCGTCTGGTGATGTCAGGGGCTGCAGTTGAGGCCACCTATAGCTCATAAGTTGACAACCACTAGCCTGTGTTCTATGCCTTGCTTTGCATATAATGTGTGTTTTACAGGCTAACCTTTTACACTCGTAGCCCAGGTTCACACATGTGCGGTATATCCAGGGGCGGACTGACCATTCGAATACTCGGGCACTGCCCGGGGTCAGTAGGGGGCCCCATGAAATGCCCCTTGTACCTTTTTTTTTTTTTTTTTTTTTTTTTTTTTTTTTTTTTTTTTTTTTATAGGCTTTTTTTGAGTGTGGGCAAGGACACAGGGGCCCCATGATCCCCTATTGCCCGGGGGCCCCATGAGTTGTCAGTCCGCCCTTGGGTATATCGCATGTGATTTGCACAGGAACCGCACCGCATTCCTGTGCAAATCTCATGCGATTTGTGTGCGGTGCGATTGGAGCCATACATTTTGAATGGCTCTAATCTCACCACACCAAAAACATGCAGGGCTCTTTCTTTGGTCCGCACTAGAATTGGATTGCATGGGTATTCACAGCTACAGTATGTGATCCAATTCTGCACATCACACTGCGTTTTGCAGACCGCTTTCGGGGTGTTGTTAACTTAACATACACACCCGCAGCGGTTTGCATGAACGGGGTGCGATTCTGATGCGGTGTGGAATTTGCACTGAAAACGCTGCAAATTCTGCACCGCATCGGTGTGAACCAAGGCTGACACCCTTATTTATGATGTAACCTGGTGCCAAGCAGACCCCCAATCCCAAAACGTCCCCCCCCCCCCCGCCAACATCATGCAGAGGTTCTTCTCCCCTGCAGCTGCTGTCACTTTTGAATTTGCATGGTTGTGTAAAGCTCCACCCAGACAGCTGCATCAGTCATTCAGAGGTTTGTGAATGAATGAACTGCAAGTCCCATATGCCACTACAGCAGACGGCTTGTAGTTCTCAGTGGGATACAACTGTGGTGATCACCATACTCCTAATACAATGGGGGCTGATTTACTAACCCTAGATTCACATCTGTGCGGGTGGTGCTGCTGCGGATCTGCGTGAAAATCCGTGTAGCCGCACCGCCAGCACAGAGAAATGCGGACCCCCGGGCGGGTGCCATTAGTTCTAATTGCACGCCACAGGCACTGGAAAACACAACCATACTGGGAACGGAGGCTGCATTTTCCAAAGAAATTAAGAAACTTCTTCCCTGTGTGTCACGGGGCACGAGAGTCCATTCAAATGAATGGGCTCTCGTGCCTGTGCAAAACGCAGCCCGCACGGCCGCATATATGTGAACCAGGGGTCAAACTGGAGAGTGCAAAATCTGGCCCAGCTGTGCATGATAGCCAATCACCATCTAACTTCACCTTGTCCAATTAAGCTTTGACAGAATAACCTGGAAGCTGATTGGCTCCTAGGCAGAGCTGCTCCAGATATTGCACTTTCCAGTTTTCCCCCTCCATTGACCCTTCCTCCAGCTCTCCATTTGAAGGTCTATGCCTCATTATGGACAGAGAGCTGGAGGACGAGTCTGGGATTGTGGCCCTGATCCAGTGATTTCAGTTGCAATGCTTTTCATACTCCTATGCAAAAATAATATACAAAAATACACTTTTTTTTTTTCTGCAAGTATGTGTATTTTTTCTCGGAAGGTGGGTTTAGCCTTTACAATGAACATAAGTGCATTGACCAAAAACAAGGCATTTTGCTGCTTATGGGCCCCATATCCTGGTCACGTTACAGGGAGGGTCCCTGTGTACATCTCTCGGCACATTTAGGGTCCCAGTATGGATGGTATGTTCTTTACCTTTCTCCCAGTATGCTGTTATCATAGAGTGGAGATAAGTTGGATGGGGGAGGGGGGAGTTTTCTTGTGACGCATACTTGGAGTATAGTGCTGTTTTATGACTCCTCTATATGTATCGCCCACATGTGTGTCATTGCCCTGATACTACACGCTTGGCGTGTTCTCTGACCAGAACCCATACCAGAGGATCAAGTGCTGTTCTGGGTCAGATTCCAAGAACTGAAGGCCTACATGGCAGCCAGGAAACTAGCATTCTCAGCAATGCCAACTTTCATGATTGCCATGCCTGGTTATTTTTTACTAACTTGTCCCCAGAAATCTGCTTCACTAGAGCTGAATGCAGACTAGATAATCAATCCATACTTCAAGGCCACATTCAGTGCGCATTTATGATGCTGAACATGGAGATAGTCGGGGCTCTTCTGGGAAGTAGGGACATTTTGGATTTATCTCTGATCTGGTAGGAGAGTATGGAAATGAAAGTGTGCGCAGAGTGCAGCTCACAGCCGCCTCCACCATGTGGCTTGTAGATGTTGCTCAACCCTTCCTGTCTGTGGTGAGGAGTCATTCATTGTCATGTGTCAGTGTGGTTTCCTGTGCCCATAGTAAACTTTCAGCTCTCCCACCACAACACATGACCATTCATTGCTGCAATGTAGGTGTGTTGATTTAGTATGTTGGGGTGCCACTCAAAATAAATGATACAGCGATGCAGTAATGTGCATTATCACAACATAGAAGTCCAAAAAGGCCCTAGAGTATATGTAAATCCACAAAATGTTTTCCAACTTCAGATAAAGTGGGAGAGGGTTAAAACTCCTGTCGCTTTTTTTTGCCCTCTGAAATTGGGGAGATTTCCCTTCATTTTCTGTCCTATAGACCATGCCATCTTAATAGCATCATGGGCCTCTGGGCAAAGTAAAACACTGGGGCCCCTACCGGCCTACATCAGGTGCCCCCATCACAGTGTCCCCCCACATATCAGGTGCCCCCATCACAGTGTCCCCACACATCAGGTGCCCCCATCACAGTGTCCCCACACATCAGGTGCCCCCATCACAGTGTCCCCACACATCAGGTGCCCCCATCACAGTGTCCCCACACATCAGGTGCCCCCATCACAGTGTCCCCACACATCAGGAATCCCCCCTTGTACTCACAGATCACAAACGCTGTTCCCACCTGCAATAAAGGCAGCTCCTCCTTCCCCTCGCATGCTGAGACTGAGGTGAATTTTCAGTCTCTGTGCCGAAGCTCTTCCTCCTCCTGCAGAAGCCATCCGCTGCTCCTTCTGACAGGAGTGACATTGCAGTTACTCTTGTCAAAGAAGAGGAGCACAAGTGGCCAAATCAGCAGTGTACCCCCCAAGGGCCGACTGACAACTCATGGGGCCCCCGGGCAATGTGTCCTTGCCCAAATTCAAAAAAGCCTTTGAAAAAGGTACCAGGGGCATCTCATGGGCCCCCTACTGACCCCGGGCCCTCGGGCAGTGCCCGAGTTTCCAAATGGTCAGTCCACCCCTGGTACCCCCCAACACAGCACCCTCCTTTTCCTGCCCTGATCATGTGCCCTACATGTACCTGGGACCCCTGGGCTCTGCCCGGGTGTGCCCATTCATTAAGATGGCGCTGCCTGTGGCCACAACAGAGGACATCTCAGGGGGGAATTACCTCTGAGAGGGTTGTCAGTCAAACAAGTGTCCCTGCTGGAAGTTTTCCCCTCTATTCCTGTTCTGGTGACAGTACAGATTTTGCCACAAGGGTACCAAGACCAATAGTGATGAATCCATCAGGAGCACAGGCAATAATAAAACTCTGATAGGGGTTCTAACTTCTCAACATTCCTTACAAAAATTTAAAAGAATTGAAAAAAAAAATACTAAAGCTGTTGGATCAGCATGATAGCCAGGCACATAGCATTTTTAGAAAGTGGTCAGCAATGACGGCACCCATACTCTATACTTATGAAGTAAGACGCAGCATGGTGATTCTTTCTTTTTTGTTTTCTAGCAGGCCTGAAGGGCTTCAGGGAAACAAATTGAACTGAGGTTGGGATTGCCCATGACAGAATGGGGGAGATTTGCTAAAACTGTAGAATGCAAAATATGGTGCGGTTGTGCATGGCAGCCAATCCGCTTCTAACTTTGTCTTGTTCAATTAAGTTTTGACAAAACCTGGAAGCTGTTTTCTCTGCAGAACTGCACCATATTTTGCACTCTCCAGTTTTAGTAAATCGACCTTAATGAGTCCACTGTTTTGTTATCAACGGGAATGCAGCAGAAGCATTGAGACTACCCCAACTAGTATATAAATTAAAACCATGTTGTATTCTCCACTCACAACCAAAACTAATTTGGATGGACTGAAGCTTAACCTTTTTAAAACTGAAATTGCAGATCAAACGTAATGGGCTTTTAAAATGGGATAATCTGTAGCTCTCTAAAAGTCTCTAATTACAGTAAATCTAGATGCGTTTAAATTGAGAGCTTTCTTATGTCGCTATATACAACTGACATGCTCAGCAGAGGATGAAAACATTAAAGCTGAACTTCTGGAAAGCTAAAAGTCCTCACACAGTGGAACTGTCTGGTCCGCAAGGGTTAATTGCTTGATTCTGTCTAGAGGGTGGGTAAAGCAGTTTTACTTACCTGATCCTCCCCTCCCCTGGCAGATGATGCTCCCCTATGCTTGAGCAGTGGACTGTCCCTTGGCATCCTCACATCCAATGCAGGGTTAAAGTCCTTGCATTGATCTTGATGACATCAGAGGACCTTAGACTGCTGGATTGCAGAGGAGAATAGGCTGCGGGGACCGGTCTAGTAGCAGAGAGGATCAGGAACATAAAACTGCTTTACCAGATCCCGTAGACATTAACAAACATAACTCTTGCAGTGTCAGAGTCTCCTATTGCAGGGAGGATTTTCAGTTTTTGTGGAATTCAGCTTTAAATTTTTGCACATCTTCCAGGCAGTTCAGATAACAGTTCGGTTTATAAGCCATTGCTTTCATCCGGTATAATCAAACAATTCTGGAACTGGTGCTTACCAAGTCGGGCAGGAAAAATGTAGTACATTTCCATCAAATTTAAATTGCGTCCAAAACATCAATCTGTTTTTTGTTTTCTTGAATATTGCCACCATTTACCCACCACAAGACATTTTCAGATCTCTCCAAATAAAGCATTTTATCCATTCAGTTATCTGTAACTAATCAGAGACTACTTTACTTACACCATTCACTAATGAATCCTCATTACAAGCCCTGCTCTGATCTCTTTCATGTACACGTCCTTGCTTGATGTGACCCAGAACACGCCACTCACATACACACACAAACCGGAAATGGAATGTTCTATAATGGAAGATGGCTGGAATTAGATTTGACTTACTGCATCCCAAAGTTCAGTCCATGTCCTAGCGGTGGGGGTGATCTACAAATTACTTTTACACTGGTACCTGGTTCCCGCGAGGATCTCTAAACTTCTCAGCTATCCATCCACATGTTTTCATGGGTGTTTAGGAGAAGGAACATTCCTTCACATCCGATGGGAATGACTCAAAGTTAGAAGATTCTGATCCCCCGAGTGTATCGACTGTTGTATACAGTCTCCGGAGTTTTCTTTACTA